ATCTATAAATGGAGGTTGAGAGGAGAGAGCAAAATGTGAGCAAACCGTGAGACAACAAAGAGAGTGAGAGATGTGAGGCGGAGAGACCGTCTCCCTCGGTGTGAGCGAGGGAGACGGGTGAGTGGCTGAGTGAGGAGAGTGTGAGCTCCTCCTCTATTGTAATCTTTCTGTAATCTCCTCATTGGTATAGTGATAACCGGTTACTCTCCCGCGGACGTAGGCATTGGGCCGAACCACGTAAAATATTGTGTCTCCTTATGTGTGGGTGTGTTTTTCTGCTTGCAATGATTTCTATAAGGTCTTGGGCGGGATCCCAGATCCCAACAACATTTGTACTCAGGTTCTATGAAAAATTCCACTTATTTGTCTCACATTTGTGCCCAGTTCTATGAAAATTTTATGTGAATGCTTCAATAATTCCATTGTATTAGGAGAAACATGCATATACATCACTGAAAAGCAAACTGCAATACATTCCATCACTAGTAATATCCTTCTCTGTACATGCTATACATGATACAAAGGTGACAAACTTATATTATACAAATAAAATAAAGGAAAAAGTCATTCATTTACAGTATAGTAATCTCATTTCATGCAATGTATTTGATGAGCAACGATCTCAGTTTTCTTCCCTTCAGAAATAGCAGCCTTCACCTACCTTCTCCGATGATCTCTTCAAGCGTAGAATTAGTGACATTTATCGGTGAATGATCTGTGTCAGCCGCCATTCTTGTTGTACTAGTCGATGAGCTGTAGTGGCTGTAGTGATTTTTTGCAGTATCAGCAATATCATCACTCATAAAACTGGTTTTATCATTAAATTTCCAGTCAGTCAGATATCCGGGCCGCGAAGTTACATCACTAACTTCAATGTCTCCTGAAAGCATTGCCACTACACGGGACATGGATGGGCGTAGCGTTGGGGATGTTTGAGTGCACAAAAGAGATATTCCTATCACTCGTTTTACTTCTTCCTCATTGAATTCAGATAAATTTGCATCCACTAGCTCCACTTCATGGTTATTTTCATGTAGATTCCAAGCCTAAAAGGAGGCAAGATTAAAAACACGTCATAAGAATTCAAGATGAGAAAACCGTACATTATTTCTTAATCATGTAGTTGTAGTTGGAGCAGGGCATCCCATGTTGGGCACTTGTATTAGATGTGGATTGTGTTTGAATGAAAAATGGCAAAGATAAATTCAAAATTGGATTTGGAGAAATATGGAAATGATAACAGATGTATTGTTTCTCAAAGTACTTGAACGAGTAGCCTTTGTTTTTCATAGCATAGAACCGAGCCGTTTGTTTTCCTGATTGTATTTCTAATTTTATTTGGTTAGTACAAGAACTCAAGAAAAGAAAGTTTAGAAAAATCTTATATTTATTCGACGTGATAATTGTTTCCAAAAGCATGAAAACAACCATAGTTAAGCCCTACTGTTGCAGGATAATGAAGTTTCAACAACATAGTTTTTTCTACATTTCTTTAAACTAACACACTGTTTAAAACAGAGGGACTTATTCAATTTCCATGCAATTGGAACATTTCAAAGGATAAATGTGTATTGGGCGAAGAAAAAAAATGAATCATGATTCATACCCATTCAAGAAGATATATCTTGTCATCCTGCAAGCTTGAGTCAGAATTTAACCTTCCACTGCATGATGTGTTACAAGTGGCTGAAAGGGCTCCCAGTTGATGGGAAGCAGTATTACAAAGAGGTATAAAGGGATCGAATAGCCAGCACCTATAACAAGAGGCCATACCTAACTAGCCCTAGACAACATTTATCCTTGGTAGTTCCACCAGATACTAGGATGCAATCAATGGGAAAGAGGCCTCTGTATGAAACCAAGCCACCCAATTATTACAAGGTAGACAACCAGCCTGAAAGGAAGCATGGATTCAGTGCAAGGCATGGGACCAGGACTGATAATTGGCCCCTAAGGACTACTTCGAAGACTGTTTCAAAGAGTGGGATAGCAGATCCAGTAGCCAAACCAGTGGGCTCATGGGTTCCAAGAGTTCCAGATTGGTTTGTCATGCAGTACAAACCTAAGGAAATGCCTACTCAAAGAAAGGTTTTTGGAGACTAGAGAAGAATGATCAAACCTCCATTGGTAGCTCCAAAACAATTGGGTGTTATTAAAGAACCCAAAAACAAGAGAGCTAGATGTGGTTCCTATGATTTCTGAGTCTCAAAGGAGGAAGATCCAACGAAGATACATCCAGTATCAGAGGGATTTGAAAGAAAGTGGAAAGAGCACTTCCATGGTACAAGCAAAAGACCAGACAGATGGGGGGATAAGTTCGAAGCCTGCTCCCAAGATCAAGAGGAGTGCTAGCATGGAGCAGTTAGCTAAAGTTCATGTTGAACTGAGAGCCAAAGAAAAATCCAGTTTAGCAGACTCGAGAAAGCTTTAATGGAAAGTGATGATAAAACGGATGATGGGATTGAGTTAGGTCAAGAGAAAACATTAGCTGAAGATGAAATGTTTGAAGCCTTCATGGCTTAACAAACCTTTCTGGTTGACAAGCCAACGGAGGTATACCACCAATAGGCTACTTTGAAGGAACCTGCTAGCACAGAGGTACCAGAATGCAGTATGGATGATGCTTCCGAAATAACAGAACAAGCTAGTTTGGAAAGGAAACAAGTACAGCCAGTAGTTCAGTTTGGCTCATTCCCTTCAGTGCCAGTAAACATGGTATATATACTGCCACAGGAGTTCCAAGCTGAAGAGGGAAATCAAGAAGGTCAGGAAGATGAACCCATTCCAGTTTATAGTGAAGATTCATAGGCCAACATGATTCAAGATGAGTCTGAAGTGGCCACACCAATGGAAACTAGAGAATAAAGTGAGGAGGTGAGTATTAACCTCTCATATCCCTTTGAGTACCTTACAACATCTATGACTTAGCACGTTAAGCCCATGTATATCAAGGCTTACTTCGATAGGATACAAATAAATAGGGTGTTAGTGGACAATAGGGTGGTAGTGAACCTGCTTCCGAAGTTCTCCTTGAAAAAATTGGGAAAAAGAAACCCCAGATTAATCCTAACCAACACACAACCATTGCTGGTTTTGCTGGGGATAAGCAGATGGCTCAGGGCATTTTGCTTATCAACTTGAGTGTGGGAATCAGAGATTACATGACAGCATTATTTGTTATAGACAGTAATGCTAAGTATAATGCTTTGCTTCGCAGGGATTGGATCCACACTAACAAATGTGTGTCTTCCTCTCTACATCGAAAAATTATGATAACAGTATGCAATGGAGAGACAGAGGAGATCAACGCAGACGCTCAACCTTTTATTGCTTATGCTGATTTTCTAGAGGCCAAGTTATACACTGAAGGAGTGACACCACTCAGTGTGTTGAGGAAACTTGATGGAACAGCCGAAGTGATGGTTGATGAGAAAGTAGCACACCTGAAGCACTTAGTGCAGGAGAGTGCTGATGAAGAATTCATTACCAAAGATGACAATGATGCCTGGTTGTAGGCAAGAAGATCAAGACCAAAAAGCTAGACTTTTGGCTTTAATCAAGTTTTCAGTACTGGACTTAAAATCAATAGTCCAAAAGGTGCATGAATAAAAGAGAGAAGCCATGGTGATTGGCTGTAATTAGGAGCAACAAAAGGCCAGATTTTTGGCTCTAGGTAAGTACTGTGCATTGGATATTGAAACAAAAGTCCAGCAGATACAAGAAGAAGAAGCCTTGTGGACAGATTTTGTCTGCGAAGAAGAAAACAAATAGGTGGAACTTGAAAGGATAGAGGTAGACAAAAAGGTTACTTCGAAGGCAAAGGAATGTAAGGGGAAAACATCAGTGAATACCCAAGCACAAGAACCCTTGGAAGAAGTTAACCTCGGTGAAGGTTCAGCATAACAACCTACCTATATTAGTACTTGGTTAGATCTTAATGACAGGGACCAGTTATTGGTTGTATTAAAACAATATAAGGATTGCTTTGCTTGGTCTTATAATGAGTTGCCTGGATTGGACAGGTCATTAGTGGAACATAGGCTCCCTATAAAGTCTAACTTCAAGCCACACAAACAGAAACCAAGACGGATGAGCCCTAAAGTGGTTTAGAAAGTGAAGAAGGAGATTCTTAAGCTCCTTAAAACAGGCTTCATTAGAACAGTTAGGTATGTTGAATGGTTGTCTAACATTGTGTCTGTGGTTAAAAAGAATGGCAAGATGAGGGTATGCATTAATTTTAGAAATCTAAATTTGGCAACTCCAAAAGATGAATACCCCATGCGTATAGTTGATCTATTAGTGGACAGTTCAATAGGACACAGGATTTTGTCTATGATGGATGAGCATTCTGATTACAACCAGATATGCATTGCAGAGAAGGATGTCCACAAGACAGCATTTAGGTGTCTTGAAAATATTAGCACATTCGAATGGGTGAAAATGCCATTTGGTCTAAAGAATACTGGGACAACATATCAGAGGGCAATGAATATTATCTTCCATGATCTTATTGGAGGATACTTAGAGTGTTACATGTATGATATTGTTGTAAAGTCCCAGTCTATAGAGGAACATTTGGTTCACTTGGTAGCAACTTTTGAAATAATGAGAAAGTTCAAGTTGAAGCTTAATCCTCTCAATTGTGCTTTGGTGTATCAGCTGGAAACTTCTTGGGGTATGTAGTGCACAAGAAAGGAATATAGATTGATCAGAATAAAGCTAATGCCATCATTGAGGCCAAACTTCCATCAAGTAAGAAAGAATTACAAAAGTTCCTTGGCCAGGTTAATTTTCTTCAAAGATTTATTTCTAACCTTGCAGGGAAAACTAAAGTATTTTCTTCTTTGTTAAAGCTGAAAAATGAAGAAAAGTTTGTGTCGACAACAGAGTATCAAGCTACTTTTGAAGGGATTAAAGCCTATTTGGCCAAGCCTCCAGTGTTGATACCACCAAGGAGAGATAAGCTCTTGAAGTTATACATTGTTGCAGCAGAAGATTCATTTGGAGTTTTCCTAGCTCAGGACAATAAAGAAGGTAAGGAGCAAGTAGTTTATTACCTTAGTAGGTTTTTAAATTCTTGTGAATGTAAATACTTAGCTGTAGAAAAGCTGTGCCTTGCATTGTACTTTGCAACAATGAAATTAAGGTATTATCTTTTTCCTACTGTTGTCTTGGTAATTGCAACCACAGACTTGGTTAAGTACATGTTATCTAGACCTATGCTGAGAGGAAGAATTGACAAATGGATATTAGCTCTTTCAGAGTTTCATCTAAAACATGTTCCCCAAAAGGCAGTAAAAGAGCAGATTTTGGGTAACTTTTTGGCAGATCATCCATGTCAAACTGAGAGCCAAGAAATAATGGATCTTGGTTTAGTTAATATTGAGCCATGGAAAATGTGGTTCGATGGATCAAAAGCTAATGGTCTGGTTGGAATTGGTGTTACCATTAAGTCACCACAAGGGGTAGAAACCACACATGGTTTCCGAGTTGATGAAACTACTTGTTCCAATAATCAAGCTGAATATGAAGCTTTAATAATGGGACTTGAGATACTCATTGGATTACAAGTTCATGCAGTTGATATATTTGGGAATTCCCAATTGGTAATCAATCAAGTAAAAGGAATCTTCAAATGTCAAAGTGTAAGTATGTTACCATATTATGTTGTTGCACTATATTTGCTTTCTCAATTTCAGATAGCCAATGTGACTTATATCCCAAGATTCATGAATCATAAGACCAATGATATAGCTCAAAAGGTCTCGAATTTCAGAAGAAAGGGAAATACGCAAGTGGACATAAGTCAGGCAACATATCAGAAGTTAATATTGCCTTTGGCTAAAAGGGATATCATGGTAGAAGTTAACCAGAATAACTTAGAAGAGCATGATTGGAGACATCCAATCATTCAATATTTAACTAGCCCTTCTTTGAAGGCCATCAGAAAAATTAAATTACAATCTATGCAATATATAGTGTACAACAATGCTCTTTACAAAAGGGAAACAGACGGATTGTTGTTAGAATGTTTAGGGCCAAAAAAAGCATTGACTGCTATGGTTGAGGTGCATGAAGGTATTTGTGGTGTCCATCAGCCTGGTGTGAAGATGAAATGGCTGCTTCGAAGGCATTCTTACTATTGGCCAACCATCCTAAAGGATTGTATAGAGCATGCAAAAGGATGTCAAGCATGCCAAAAGCATAGCATGATAAGACATATGTCAATAGCTAATTTGCATGCGGTAGTGAAACCATGGCCATTTAGAGGATGGGCAATGGATATGATAGGAAAAATATATCCACCGTCTTCGAAACATCATTGTTTTATTCTAGTGGTCATGGATTACTTCACTAAATGGGTTGAAGCTAAGTCTTATAAGGCTGTGGATCAAACTGAGGTTATTGGATTTATCAGAGAATTAATCCATACGTTTGGCATCCCTCTGACCATAACTGTGGATAATGAGACTGTGTTTAATGGAAAGATGGTGAAGTCTTTCGCAGTAGAATTTGGAATTAGTCTTATTAATTCCACCCCTATTATGCACAAGCAAATGGTCAAGAAGAATCATCTAACAAGTCCTTGAAAAAAGGAATGCAAAGAGTTGTGGAAGATAATCCTAGGGATTGTAATTTGTTGTTAGATGTATTGTGGGCTTACAGGAC